AAAAAAAAAAGAATTAGCCAGCTGGACTCAGTTTAGATGATCCCAATTTTGTTGGCAACATCCAATGCATCATAATTGGGAGCTGGTGGAACATAATGCCACCTCCTCTCCATCAGGCCTGATTAGAGTATTGACCTTGGCAACACTGATGTCATAGAGCTGTTTTACAGCTTGTTTGATCTGGTGCTTATTGGTTTTGACATCCACAATGAATACAAGTGTGTTGTCCTCGATCCTTTTCATGGCTGACTCTGTGGTCTGGGGGAACTTGATGATGGCATAGCGGTCAAGCTTGTTTCTCCTGGAGGTGCTCTTCTGTGGGTATGTGGGCTGCCTCCGGAGCCGCAGTGACTTGGGATGGTGGAAGGTGGGTGACGTTCCTGTCTTCTTTTTTCTGGCTGTGGATGCCTTTCACCATGGCCTTCTTGGCCTTCCAAGCTTTTGCTTTGGCTTCCTTCTTCACCTTTGGTGCCATCTTGGTACTAAGACTCCAAGTGTGTCTAATCTTCACACTCATTTAGAATAGAAAGTAAATGATTTCTGAATTTGTATGGGTTAGAATGTATAAAATTTACATGAATGTTTTGACTCTGGATTTTTTTCTGAATAGTTTAAGAAGTATGGCTGAAAAGTGCCAGTTGCCTTTTTACTTTTGTGTCTGTGTGTTTTGATTTTGATCAGGGAAATTTGTTCTTCCCCTTTTAAATGCTACTGCATTATTACCTGTATAAAACTATATAGGAGATTAGATCAGTTTATCCTTTAGGAGAACCATGGAAGTAGACAACTTTAAAAATGTATTGGTTTTTAAAATATCTACTATTTGATTTTATTTTTCTTTTGAAAATTGTAGTACATGGTGATCACGTTCTTCATGGCAAGTTAGTACATAGCATAATCCCCTTCTTCTTTCCCTCCCATCTCCTGGTTCCCTTCCCATATGCCAAAGGTCTGGGCTGGTGAGATAGCTCTGCAGATTAAGTGCCTGCTTAGGCAAGCGCAGGGGCTGGGGTTCCATCCCTGGCACCACATGCTGCGCCGGGCTTGTCTTCAGGTCCTCTGAGCTGGCCACCGAGTCTTAGCGTGGAGGCACATACCTGTAATCTCAGTGCTAAGGAGACTGAAAACAGGAGGATCACTACCAGTTTGAGCTTTATAGTGAGACCCTGTACAACAACAACAAAAGATTCCATATGCATAAAATCTATTTCCTTTTATCATTTATTTTTCTCTTTATTGTTTTGTTTACATTGCTCTTTATATTTTCTCATATAGACTAATCCATGTGATATTTAAGCTTCTGTCTCATGAATTTCACTTACCATTATGATCTCAATATATGTTCACTCTACAAATGACTCACGCTTATCCTTTTTATGGCAGAGTAGTAACTCCACTGCACGTAACAGCACGTTTTCTTTATCCATTCATCTGATGGACATACAGAGTATTTCCAAGATTTAACTGTTATGAATTGTGCTGTTATTAACATGGGTGTGGGGCCGGGGAGATGGCTCAGTGGAACATGCGCTTCCCTGGCAAGC